ATTTTCACGCTCTTGGAACGAACACATTAATCATATTGAAAGGTTTTTACAAGTTATCTCAGATGAAGGCTTTAAACTAAAATTAACAAAATGTAACTTTGCTACTAATACCACTAAATATCTTGGACATATTATTCAAGAAAACAAAGTAGCACCATCCCAAGAAAATTTAATTGCTATCAGGAATCTTAAGAGACCAACAGATAAATCAGGAGTAAGAAGTGTGCTAGGCTCTATCAACTTTTATCTAAAATATATTGAAAACAGTGCTCAAAAATTTGAACCATTACATAGACTTCTAAGAAAAGATGTAAAATTTTATTGGTCACAAGACTGCGAAGATTGTTTTAACTTGATAAAAGATTATTTATGTTCTCAACCAATTTTAGCCATTTACGATCAAAACAAAAATACTTATATTGAAACTGACGCCAGTTATAAAGGAATAGGAGCTACTTTAAAACAACAACATTCTGATGGTATGTTACATCCTGTTGCTTACTTTTCAAGAAAGTTATCAGAAAAAGAAAAGAAAATGGACATTATCCATCTTGAATGTAAAGCTATCAAAGACGCAATAAAGTACTGGCAATATTACCTGATTGGTCGGGAATTTACTGTGTGTAGTGACCATAAACCTTTAGAGAATTTAAAAACAAAAAGTAGAACAGATGAAATATTGGGTGATTTGATACACTATTTGTCTCAATTTAATTTCAAAATTATTTATAAAAAAGGAAAAGAAAACTTGATGGCCGATTTACTTTCTCGATCACCAGTATTAGAATATTTTGAAAATGATGATGCAGTTCAAGTTGTCAATCTAATTGAGAGACCTGAAATTGTTCAGGATCAAAACGATAACAGAGCTGTATTAAGCACTGCCAAGAAAACTGAAAAACGCCATGGTATTATCTACAAAAAATTGAATGACAAAGCAAGGATATTTGTTTCTGAGAAATTTGGTTTAAAAATAATTAAAAAAGTACATGAATATTATGGACATATTGGAGCTGGAAAATTAAGAGAAAAGATACGACCATTTTATTATTTTAAAAACTTCGATCAACTAATAGACGAATTTTGTAAAAGTTGTGTCATATGTTTAGAAAACAAAAGCAGAAGAAGCAGAATTATAGGATTAATGTCAAAATTAGGCCCTGCAACAGAACCATTTCAAATTATGTCCATTGATACAGTTGGTGGTTTTGTCGGTAACAGATCACCAAAGAAATACATGCATATTTTAGTGGACCATTTTAGTAGATATGCTTGGATCTCCACTACGAAAAATCAATGTGCAACAGATTTCATAAATTTAATTCACCCAATTGCTAA